CTTGACAAAAATATGGGTGAGTTAATTTGATGGTTACTTCCACTACAAAAACGCTGACCCGTTTCGTTACTATTTCACGCATACGTGAAATGCAAAGGCAATTCATTACATTCACGCATACATGAAATGCAAATAGCAGTTCAGCAGGAAAACGGCTTGCCTGTAAACATGTTATCCTCTGAGTTCAGTTTCCCAGTGCCCAGGTAAAAACCTGGCGATGGCAGAACACTTCTGCAATCCCTGCGCTGAGAAGGCGGAGATGGGAGAGTCCTTGGAACTAAGTGGCTAGCCAGCCATGGCAAATCAGCGAGTTAAGGTTCAGAGATGAGACCCTGTCTCGAGAACTGTGATGGAGAGTCCCCGAGGAGCAGAACTGATGTTGAACTCTTGCTTACACGCATGCACACAGACACATGACACATATATGCCGCACATGTACACATATGCACACAATATAACCCGATTCAATTAAATAATAAGAACAAAGGGATCCCTTGCATCCGGAGCTGCCCAGGATGGCTATTCAGGTGCCTCCTGCCCAACAACGCAGGGTTTTGGTCACGTTGGAGTCTATGTGAATGATGCCCTTTGGGATTTACGGCTCTACCTTACATGACTGCATATGGGGTACCTGTTTCCTCTCCTTAAAATGAGAAATAAGTTCATGCTGAAAATTTTTCTGATCTTAATTTTAATGAGCACTTGGTTAACATATTGCTTTACTCGCTATGCCTGATTCACAATTTAAATTAGAATTGGGGCTTTTGAACTCCTGGTTAGCCACATGTTCAACTTCGTCTTGTAGAGTTCTGTTGTCTCATAGTAGCTTTCTTTTGATAGTCAGATGCTTGGTGCATTTATAAAACCCCGTCCTTCTCCTTGTCCATCCCGTCTGAGTATACTCCACAATGGCTGTTTCCTGCTCAGGGTATTGTCAAGCACTTCACCATATGTAAGAAATGGAGAACATGCCAGGAGCCCAGTGACATCAACTGGTTCACGTACATGGCTCCCTGGTGAAGTTCAGGCCATCATCCTTACCTAGTGATTATGTGAGCTCGGGAATCAGGTAGACTTGGATACCTCCTAGCTATGTTATTATTGCTTTACGTAGATACCATAAGACTTTAGTTTCTTTAGGGAAGTGAACAACAATAGTATCGGCCTCATGGAGTTGCCAAGCAGATGAAGGTAGAACTTGGCACAAACAGAATGAGCTCAAGAAATGTGAGCTATTGTAAGCCTCTTTCCCCAGGTTATGTTTAACTCCTGTGGCTCTGGAGAAAATGGTCTCTCAGTATTAGAGTTTAGATGCAGATAGATAGGTAGGTAGATAGGTAGACAGACAAATAAACAGACAGGCAGACAGACTGACAGACAGATGGATTGATTGATAGAGATCGATAGATATCAGAAATCAAAAGCCAAAATAATTCTTTTTCTAAAAAAAATCAAATTAAGAAATAACTCCAATAAGATAGAAGAATGGAACCCTGGTTGTGAACGGGCATTTCATCTGCATTTTATTTAAGCTGTACAAATACAGAGAGAATATTTGCATGCCTTGTGTTCTCCTTGCTGCACAGCGTCACCCTATGAAGTAAAGAGCTGACACTTGCCTTGCTGTCTCTTTGCACAAGAAGACACAGAAACTCTGCTAGGTTATGGGAATGTAGAAAGTTCTGGAGGCGGTTTTAATAAGCCTCTTCACTGGGAACCCTTGCTTGGCACCAAATGACAAAGGGAGGGCTATGCTGCTTGGGTTGATGGTGTGGGCCCACTACTACCTCACTGAGGACCCTGGAGGACAACAAACATTTGGCTTCAAACAAGAGGCACTCTGAGTGGAGACTGAGGGTGAAGCTCAGTAGTAAAATGCTAGCCTAGAGTGCGCAGGTGAAGAGGCTCCAGGTTTAGTTGGGTGAGGTGGGAAGGAAGGAAGAAGGAAGAAGTGAGGGTAAAGAGAGGGCATTGTTTTAACTCATACCTCTCCCATGGACATCTCTTACTTGCTGCCAAGTACTGAAGAGTTGGACTAGCGATGCCTAGGAATCCCCAGGTCTCCCCTAGGTGTTCTGACTGCAACACATGATGCAGTGATCTTTAGAATGTCACTGGAGATCTTTCTCCAGAACTCATTTTAGTTGTCTTTAACAAGTACACAACCCTTTCACACACACAAACATGCACATACATCCACACACACATAGACACACAGACACACATACACAATACACACATATCCACACATGCATACATGCATAGACACATATACATACATAAATACATATACATACATACACGCGTAGACACACAGACACACATACATACACACATTTACACACGTATGCACACACATACACATGCATACACACATACACACAGTACATACCTGCATACATACACAAACACACACACACACACACACACACACACACACACCTTTTTCTAAGTTTATTTTCAACTCCAGGAGTCACTTCTTCTTCCTCTTCTGGCCAAAGAGTCACTTCTAACCTCCTTGCCAAGTTATTATTCATTAAATTGAAATCAAAGACAGGAAAATGGGATGGACTCAGGGGCAGTGCCTGATGTAAAATACGTCACCTCCTCCCGCCATATTATCAGTAAGGATCACAAACTAAACAGGTGACCAGAAGCTTATAATCGAAATTACACTCTGCCCAGATCCTACCTGTCCCTTGTCACCCAAACCAATAAAACACTTGAACAAGAATTTTTTATCCTGTTTGCTTATGTTAATCATCAAGCCAAACCAGACAGCTTTCCACTTTCTGGAATCGGAGGTGGCAATTAAATATGAAGACATCACAAATCCTCTAGGCAAAGAAACAAACAACAACAAAAGCCTCTTGGTGTTTCAGGCCAGGAGGCAGACCACCACAGCACTTTGAAGCTGCATCAGCTGTCTTTGGTGACCCAGTGTCACACACCAGCACCACAGTTGGGTGAACGGGGAACCATTACATCTTAGTTTAAGGGTTGAAGTCAATCACGGTGTTATAAAGTCTAGGTTGGAAGACTGTCTCAATCACTGAGCATGTTTATTAACTCTTCCTGCATGTATGCCGCTGGACACGCCAAGCTCTGGAGAGCCCTCTACATAAGTAAAAGACCTCCAAACAGCTCAGTCTGTTAAAATGAAACTGAGAAAAATCGATAAAATTGTTCCACAGTGTTAGGACAGGTGAAAGTATGCAAAGAGCTACAGAGACAGAAAACCTGAGCTCTGGGGAGAAGGAGGCTGCAGAGTTCCTTCTTCCCCCATATTGCCACAGCAGGGAAACTGGGACTTCCTATTCTGGTCCATTGGATGATTAGCGCGTGAAGACTCTAGATCTTCAGATATAGTTTCTAAGGTTCTTCGCGTTCATGGGCAGGGACTACTGCTTACAAATGCAGAGTCAATTCCACACTATTCTGGGAGGCACAAGCAGAAAAACAAAACAAAACAAAACAAAAAAATCTAAAAAAAAAAAACAAAACAAAACAACCCACTTCACCAGCTCTCCACCCAGAGGAGTCTGGAATCCGGACTGACCGGCTGAACGCCCTGCTGGGGAAGTGAACTTGTGCCTAAATCTGCCACATCTTTCCCAGCCTTTGGCACTACTTAAAACTGCACAGCCTCACGGACTCTCGAGCCAGAGGGGAGGGAAATGGAGAAGGATGGTTGAGGTTAGCATTCAAATACTGCCACCTCTCTCCGGTTTCTTTACCTTTCAAATCTTCACCACTGGATTGCCCAGGCTGTGAAAATTTTGCCGAAGTAGAAAAGTACCAGAGATGCCATGAGTCAGTGGCCTTGCTTTACCGTGTGGGCAGAGGCAAATTCCCGTCTAACACTCCATTTCCAGTTCCACTCCCCAGACTCTACACTGCACTTGGGTTGTCCGAAGATTAAAAAAAAAACAAAACAAAAACAAAAACAAATTGAAACCACGTGCACCGATATGTACGAAGCTTCCAACACCACGTACTAAAGCACTCCATTCAAACCAAGAAAACGCAGACAGTCTAATCTTTTAGGACATCACCCTGGGGCAGAGCCAGGGTGGAGATGAGTTGCCCCCAGGTGGTAAAAGTTGTCAAAAGTCCATGCCCGCCACTGCTTTGGCAAAACATAGGCAATACTGGCAAGTGTGTAAGTGTAAAGGTGGGTTGAGGAAGGTTCACGCTGCGGGGTAAGGCCCGCACTGCGTTAACCCCTTACCTTCCAGCAGTACTTCCTTGCCTGCGCGCTTCAGCGCCTGCACGGCTTCATCGTGGGTGGCGTCCCGCAAGTCTGCTCCGTTCACCGACAGGATAGCATCGCCCACATACAGGGCTTGGGTCTGATCCGCTGCCAGCCCCTTGAAGATCTTGCTGATGAGTATGGGCATCTTATTTTCCTTGCCCCCTTTGATGCTGATGCCCAGCCCTCCCAGCTCCTGCTTCAGCACCTTCACGCCCCTCTTCTGGTTTGAGATGGACTCAGGCACCTGCTCCGGGAGGTCGGTGAAGGCTGTGCGGACCCCGGCGGGAGAGTCCGGGGTTTGAGTGACACCAGTAGCCGGGTGCCCTATCCCGGAGCCCCTGCAGAACGAGCCATTGGTGGCAGTCCCTATGCCATTGTACGCCGCAGCGCCCTCCTCGCAGCTCAACACCAGGGCGTCTTCGCTCAAGTTCACCAGAACTTTATGCCAACGATCCCGCACCAAAACTTCCAGCAGTCCGCTCCGCTGCGCCCGGCCGCCTCCCCCGCCAGCCGGCGCAGCCACAGCCGCCGCCGCTACCGCCATCTTTCCAGCATTCTTAAAATGCCATGTGATTGCAAACGGGGGGAAAAGTGGAGAAGGGGTGCGAGTGGGAGGACGCAGGTCGCTGGGGCGCGGGAGAAGCAAACGCCCGGCAGCGCGCACCCAGGACTCCACTTCCCGTGTTCGCGGCCGCGCTGTGCGCCACTTGGCAGCTGCTGAACTGGTTCCCCCTCGCTTGATCCTGGGCGGGGTGGAGCAACCTAAAAGAAGAAGGAGAGCCCTCGACAGGGGAGGAGGGAAAAAAGCCAGCTGCTAGTTGCCAAACCCCAACCGGAGAGGAGCCGCGGAGCCGCCAAGTGCGGTGGAGAATCGGTAGGAGGAGGCAAGGGCGGGACCCGGGGCCCCAGCCGCTCACCTGTTCGGCCACGGTAGCGTCACACTCCCACGTCGCGCTGGCTCAGACCTGGGTGCCTCAGTTCTCTGTAGTACCTCACTGCAGTTCCCCCCCAACCTACTAGCCCCTCTGTCGCGGCCCCCACCTCGCCCCCCCCCCCCCCCCCCCCCCCCCCGAGCCCGTTCTTCTGAAACAGCCTTTCTCGATGGGTCCCCACACTCACCTTTAAGAGGTGCGCGTTCTGCCTCTGTACCGTACCCTCACTCAATTCTCTTGAGCCAACTTGACTCAGTCCTCACTCAGCTACTTACAGATCCAAGTCTTCCTCAAACCGAAGCTTCCTAGTCTCGACTCAATTCTTGCTTATTTCTCCTTTCCTGTAGGACCCTGGGGAGGAAGGAAACTGCGGAGAGGTTCTAGGCTGGGCCAGAAGCCAGGGGGAAACTGTCAGAGGAACACAGCATGAAGTCACATTAAGCCTGCATACCCCTGTCCTATTAGTCAATGCAGGGCCGGAATCTGAAGACAGAGCACTGGCGACAGGGGTCCTCATCTCCAGGACAAGGCTCTATCTCAACCTCCTGTGCCAGCCCAAAGCTTGTTGAGGCTCGCTTGTTCTTTCTTAGATGCCATACAGGAAGGGTCTTCTTTAGAAACTCAGAATGGTTTGGTTGCATCTCCAAGTTCCCCGAAAATTGCTTGCGTGTCTCTTCAACTGCACGTTCCCAAGGTGACAGCGTTGTAATTCTTGGTTCTCTTCCTTGGCCAACCAGGAAATGCTACCGTAACTGTAACCCAAGCCATAGCGGGACATTGCAGGGTTCGTTTACTATGGAACTTCTTAAGTACTTCCCCTACCTTAAGCGGGTCCCCCAACTCGTTTAAGGGGTGTTAAGTTTTGGACCTGCTTGTCTTTCCCCTGCTCGCTCTCTATTCTCTGGAAAACAAAAGAAAAATATAACTCTGTGATTGGTCTGGAGAAAAATCAATTAAATAACTAAGAATAAAATAAAATATGATTTCATAAGCATTAAAAATATATAAATCTGCCAATTCTGGAAGGTGAAGTCTACTCAACAAGATGCCAGGGGGAAGTGGGTCTTTGGGGGCATATATGTCTTCACCACACGGAAGGGTACCAGCAGCAAACAGCTCCAGCCCCTTCCAGAGTGCCACTTAAAAATTCACAGGATTCCCCTATGGAGTCCCAGGCAGGGACACAGAACTCAGGGAAAATACTTAAGAGACTTTCTTGAGAACGTGAATTCAAGTTGCTGAGGCTCGCTGACGGCCCTTGAATGGATACTTTCAACTCTCTTGCTCCTATAATTTTAAATCTGCTGTATTCCAAAAGGTGTTTTTAATGTTTTCATGCAAGCCTGCTCACAACAGGGACGCAGAGACAGCAGCTGGGGGTTCTTCCGTCCTTCCTGTTAGATTGGGACAGAGAGGGCGCTAACACAGAGGATACCACTATTGGGAAGAAACCTAGCAGACAGTGAACTGGCCTTCTGCTTCGGAGCCTGAGATCTCAGGCCCGTGATCAGTAAGTGTTTACTTTTCAATTGCAAAGCCACAAACAAAAACAAAACCCAAACAAACAACAACAACAACAAACCTAAGGTTGGGCTAGGTACCAGAACGCAATGTACAGATGATGAAACAAAACCAGCCAGTCCCCGGCCCAGAAATTCTCCAACCAGCATACCAGTGCCTAGTCTCTGCTACCCAGCAGCGGAGGAATGCCAGCCACACCCCAAAGTCATTGACGTGACCCATTAGACATGGCAGGCCGTGGGATGGACCCTCCTGCGGCTCTCTATGCTGAGCATGTTTTCTTCTGTGTGAGCAGACTTACACGGAAAGAAAATCCGGTCCTGGTTTAAAGTTGCATCAGAATGAAAGGGGACAAATATTGAATAGCGCAAGGCCAGAGGCATGCATGTGGCTTTGCTAGTGGGATTGTAATTACGGTCCCTGTCCTTAAGTACTTTGCACATATTAACCCAGTCCTCTGGGCACTACTTGAGGGCCATTTTGGTAATGATCCCTCTTATTACAGGTGAAGAAGTGGAGGCCCAGGTTTACTAACCGACCTGGTTCATGTAATTAGTACATGGCAGGCAGGACTTGAAGTTTAACCATTGTCATACCTCTGTTCAAAATATAGCCTAGCAGCTACAGCCCCAGCGCTCATCTGAAGGCAGCCTCTTCTTTTTCCACTGGGGAGGGACAACTCTCAGGTGAAGGCCCTGCCCTTTGCTAGGAGATAGAACTGGTATTTCCTTCCGACATTTCTTTCTTCACAAGCTTAGAGGGCACCTTGCCTATCTCCAGTTGATAAAGTTTTTTTTTTCTTTTTATTTATACATGGCGATACTTGAAAATGGCCACTGTCTGTGGTCTCGCTAGCTGAGAAGCCTGACTTTTTCATTCAGACAATGCCACGCATCTGACTTTTTATCAGTGCTGATTCTCAACGTTTTATCCACCTTGATATTTTTCAGTGGGAAGGGTCAAGTGGAATTTTATAATCTTCATAAGTGGGGCAGAAAATCCCTTCCCCCACGGCCCCTGTGTTAATTTTCTATCGTTGCAAACACCTGAGATCAATCAGCTTCTTAAAAGTCAAGGCTAATTTTGACTCGTGGCTCTGAGGTCACAAGTCCCAGTTTTGACTCTGTTGCTTCGTATTTCTGGAGAGGCTGGACATATGAACCAAGACTGTTCACCTCATGGCCAGCGAGGCAAGGGCAGAAAGAACAGTTTGGGGCTCACTGTCCCCTTCCAGGACTAGACAGAATGGCTTGATGACCTCTCAGTACAGTGAGAGACCCTCAAAGATTCTGCCGCCTTCCCATAGGAGCATGAGACATTCTAGATTTCAGTTAAATCAGACCCCTAGAGGTTACCCCTTTTAAAAACAATGGCCACTGGAAAGGCCACTTTATAGGTTCAGCATTTGAGGCACAAGGCTGTAGAGTGAGTGTGTAGCAAAGCCGAGTCTAATTATTGGTCCTCAAGGTCATTATTCTTCAAAAGGCACCTGAAGCCTGCCCTCATCCCTGAAAAATAAGACTTCATTCACACTATACTTTCCCATGTTCTGTTTATTCTTTCTCCCCTATAGACTGACTGCCATTTTCCATCCAGCCCCAAGGGTGGTTTCTCAGTTCCTGTTTCCCTTGGGATGTGCATGGATCTGGAGGATGAGTGGCTGTAAAACTGCCAGAGGGAGTCACATGGTCCTCTGTTCCAGAGATGCAGGATGCATGACGGAGCATCAGCATGTGGCCAGTAAGCCGTGGCCATTTACTGACTGCACAGATTTGAGTGCACCTACACTGTCCCAGTTGCTGTTGTGGCGCACGGATATTGAAGGAATACAACTGACAAAGGCCAGCCCTAGGAAACTTTGACGGTAGTGAGTGACCCAGTCGGAGTAGGGACAGACTCTAAACATAAATTCCACAGAGAGGTAAGGCAGCGGGAGAAGCAGCAAGGTAGGAAAGTGAAGAGCGCCTGGGGCAAAGGTCTGTGGAGATAAGATGGAGGCTATCACCGAGGTCCTTGGGGAGAAGGTGGGATTTGGACAGAGAACAGGTTTGCCGTGGTGCTGAGAGTGAATGAGTGTGAAAGCATCTGGCCTCCAGGTTCCGAGTCTCAGGGCTAGGTTAGAGATTTACCTTTCAGAGATAACGTATGAAAACAGTGAGGGTGAGGGGAAGGGAATGAGGAAAGGGGAGCCTCGAGCTCGCAAAGATCCAAAGGAGGTTGCCGGGGAGAAGCAACGGTTAGTGTAGGGTGACTGAGGGAAGGCCAGGCTTGTCTAGTTCTAGTGACCAAAAGGTGAGCAGCATGGCTGTGACCACTCAATGGAGAAAGAGACAAAAGAGAGGAGAAGATGAACCCGATTCCAGAGGACCAAGGAGGACTGCAGTACAGACTACCTTCCTTGTCATTTTTGAACATCAAGAAAGATGTGTTTTCAAATGAAGGAGCAAGCAGTCCTGATTTCAAATGTTATATTAGTTTCATATTACATGAATGTCTACTTATCAGAAAACAATATTCCAGTGTTTGGAATTGGAAAAAGTCTGTACGTTTGACATCATTTTCTAAAGAATAGCACTAAGAATTTTTAGGGTCTTTCTTCCTTTTCTTTTCCTTTTCCCTTTTTTGCATGTATTTTCCAATGAACAGAGAGCAGATACAAAGTAGACAGTGAAATAATAGCAAAGCACTTTGATTTATGAGGTCATATTAGGGGAAAGGATGAAAGAGGAACAGGGGGTTTCAAAGTGCACCCACCCCCCTGAAGTGAGCCAGCCCAGCAAACACATATCAACTAAACACTGGGTACCAGCTTTTGTGAAGATCTAAGGCAGGTGCTGGAGGCAAGCACACCCAGGGATGCACAGATGATTAAGACAGGAAGACATACACATGCAGCACATGGGGAGAACAGAACAGGTTGCTGCGGTGCTGGAGTGAATTAGCGTGAAAACAGCCAGCTTCCCAATTCCAACTTTCCGTCTGGGTTAGTGATGCACATTTCAAAGATGAAGTATGAAGACAGCAATGGTGCATGAGCAGGAGGCAGGGCAGCTTCTCCTCTGGCGTGTCCCAGTTGGCTAATAGGTCCTTCATCATCTAAAAGGCATCTGGAGACACCCTTCCTTGCGTATGCCTGCATATACCTGGGCAGGTCCTGGGCAAACTAGAAAGTCCACTCCCCAGACCCTCGGCCAACCAGTCAATCAAGTGAGAGCTATTTGATTGCTCCTAGTGTTTCTATCTTTTCCCAGGACCACCCAAGGCACCATTACAAGGTACCTTGCTATTCGTTTGTTTTTCTCTTATTGTATTCTGTTTTTGCTTTCTTGTCTGTAACAATGAATAATTAAAACACACTTCCGATTAATATTTTAATTTGTGTTTCATTTTAATGAAATCCACCTTTCCTTAATAGTTGTACCTCTTATCTTGTTTGTAAACTGTAGAATGATGACATTAGATTTTATTTTAAAGACCCTTGAGCACAGTGGTAAAACTATGGATGTATAAAACCCTGAGAGGCATCAGATTGCAACACATAATAGAAACTTTAACAGTATTAACTAAGAAAATATGAGAGAAGCAGGAAGGGTAAGAAATCCAAGCCCTACCATATTCATCTTTAAAGTAACGTGAGATAAAATTTGAAGTAGTTATTTCAGGATGCTTCTAAACCCTCCCTCATGTTCTAAATTGGTTATTACATTACTAGAGCAAACTTTGCACTGGGGGAAGGAGGTGTTTTTGCCTGAGAGAGACCCATGTCTGACTTCTTTCTCCATCATCTTCACTTTCTTTATGGAGACATTTCTGTATAACCCGCCCTCAATACACGAGAAACAGCAAACTTCCTTCCTCACTCTGCCTCCCAGCCTGATCGCCTATTTCTGTTTATAGCTCACCCAAGCCACTCCTTCCTGCACGGTTTCCTCCCAGACAACATCCCACTGTTAACTCAGTGCTGAGCTCAGAGTCCCTCACGGTGATCATGTGTCCAGAGCCTTCTATCCCAGTGCTGAGCCCTGAGTCCATCACTGTGGCTCTACCTGAAACGTCTTTGGGATTTCTCCTCTCCTCCTTCCATCGTCTACCATTCGATCTACCTTCTTGCTCTCCCTGGTTGATTGCCTACAACAAACCTCAGTCTGGAAACGTTAATGGAAATTCCCAGAAGATTCAGATAACCCAAATGTTAACCATTCACCATAGAAAGATTGGGAGCCCACTGCAGAACTTATCTAAGTTATGGGAAGCCATTCACTTCTGGAACTCACAGGAACAGGTGAGGCAAACAAACATGTGATAAAAACATGAGTGACCCTGAAAGGCTGAAGGACTTTCTTGTGATTTCTTGCATACAATAGAAACCCAAATAGGAAAGCAAATATGGAGTGAAATGAAAAGACCATGCTTGAGACTCTTGCAGTCCAGGTAGAAGAGCTAAGAATTAGCATTTGTATGAAAGGAAAAAAGAAAAGTTAAACAGTTTGAGCAGTGTGTGATAGTTGATTGGACAAAGAACCTGGTAGAGAAGAGTCCAGTGAAAGTTTAATTACCATTTATTAAATATTGACATGACTGAACTTTGTGTAGACAATATATACTATTTATTAAAAAATATATACTATTTATTCTAGGCAGTTACTATATGAATAAGTAATATTATTCCCATATTACAGACAAGATTGTTGAACTCCCCCGAGTTACAAGTCTTGCAAGTATTTGAAGTGGTGTTCAAATGTTCAAACATAGGTCTAGTTTCTACATTTGTTTCACTTTCAAAACTTGTGCTTGTAAAGTTTGCAATATGCTAATGGGCATAGGTGTTCCAAATGGCGATGGAATTTGCCAGTAGGTAGTGAGGCTTCCATTAGCTCAGTCATGTTTTAGGGAACATTGGAATTTACAATCGGTGGTGGCAAAGAAGCATTTAGATTTTTGACGGCCTGCATAAGGGCATTTAGTTATTTGCTATCAGTTGAATGTTTGTGTCTCTCCAAAATTGATGTGCTAGAATTTATGATCCAATGTGGCAGGCTTAAGAGCTAGGGCCTTTCAGAAATGGGTGGAGGCCTCACAATAGGACCGGTAACCTGTAAGTAGACAAACTAGTCCAGAGTGAAGTCATTGGCAGATTTGATATCTGCTCTGAAGATGTCATCTCTGTTTCTAGGATGGAAACTTTCATCTCTTTACTGAGTGATAACAGAGTGTTCATCTCTCTGTCCCTTCTGTCCGGCCAGGATATAGTGTTTCTTTTCTTTGAAGGACCCAGCCACAAGCTACCTTGGAGAGGTGAAGACATCAACAGGAACTAATCCTCTCAGTTCCCTGATGTCCTATTTTCTAATATCCAAAACCGAGGGTAGTAAATTTTTGTTCTATAACATGGCCGGTGGTGGTGCACGCTTTAATCCCAGCACTTGGGAGGCAGAGACAGGAGGATCTCTGTGAGTTCCAGACAGGCCTGGTTTACATATTGAGTCCCAGGACAGCCAGAACTATGGACAAATGTGCAACCCCAGTGTGGGTTAACTGCAGATGGGACTCCAATCCCAGAGAGCTGCTAAGGCTAAGCCTTGTGAAGGCATGGATGGGAATGAGGGTTTCTGGAGCCTTCCAGACTGAAAAACCATCTTAGCATGTCTGAAGGGCGGTTGTGCTAAAGCCTTGAGGTTAAAAGTGTGCTCTGTTATGTTCTAGATACCCTTGGAGCCTTGTACCACTTTCTTCTTCTCTAGCTTTCCCTTTGGGACACAAACGCCTGTCATATGTGTGGCTCATCATTGTATTTGGGAGCAAACACTTGATCTCACACATCTTCAGCTGGATATCAATTGCTGTAGTCTGAAACACATGCTGAGTGACACTCATACCAAATTCAGATGAGGTTTTTGAAGATGCTGAAGGGAGTTCAAATTTGGGGAGATATCCTAATGGCATGAATGTAGTTTGTGTGTGAGAAAGACACAAGTTTGGGGAAATGGGGTTAAGCCTTTATGATATAGTGTGCAAACTTACAAAAAGGCTGGATGGAATTACAAAGGTCTTTTTTTTTTCTTCCCTGTAGGGACATTGTTTGTCCTGGTCGGAGAACTCAACACCAAGAAACTATCTTGGAAACGTGCCAGATCCTCACTCTTGGACTTCCCAGTCTCGAGAATTGTGAAAAACAAATTTGTTCTTTACAAATGACCTTTTCATGGGCATAGACGCTAAGCAAGCGGCATAGCTGTCCAGATGAAGAAAATATCTTGTTTAGAGTCAAGCACGACCATGGCAGAAATTCCACTAACGATAACACTTCCTGGGTCGTGGTGAAAGGGGAGCCAAACTCAAAAGACGGCGTTTGAAAAGCACATGACATCAAACCAAAATGAGGGGAGAGAAACTTTCAATGATATGCTTAGTTTTTCATTGCTTCTAACTATAATTGCACTAGCATTACAGGGAAAGATCTCCAGGTGACTGTCAACTATGGTCACCTAGAGGCAGGGGACACATTTAAAGATAAAGGTCAAATGTGTATGAAATGAAAATCAAGGCTCCCTGATGTATCACAGGACATTGTTTTTTTATAAACAGTATATACCTGACTAAGTTCCAAAAAGGAATCTACTGCCTGGAAACCTCAGCTGCTGGAGAAGGGGCAAAGCAAATCAGAGCGAACGAAAGTCCTTTATCAGAAGAAAAAAAAAATCCAAAGCAGATTCCATTTCCTGTCAGCCCTGATAGAAATATGTTGAACAACAGAAGAAAGGGGATCTGTTCAAAACAGCAACACAAGACGCATCTTTACCTTTCCTTTAACATATCTGTATCCCCCAACATGCAAGACATGTTTTCAACATGTTAACCAACTTATTCATCTTGCTTAATCTACAGAATAAAAAATATTATTATAATTACTTTCCCACAGCAATACTAACAAAAACAAAAACTATTAAGAAAGCTCAAAATACCTTTGCAATGTGTGTTGTTTATAGGAAACAGCAAATCCGAAGTGTGTAGAGTGTCCTAAAGGCAGTCTTGATCTAGCTGCTATAGTCTGCAAAGACAGATTCAGATTGTGAGACAATTCTATCAAGTCAGAGGCATTGATTTCTTTCAGTATGTTGTCTTGGAAAGCAAAAAGCAAGATAGAATTGTTCTATATTTAAGAAAACTAGAAACACAAACCCAAATAAAATCCGAAATCTTTGGTCATCATGAGGAAATCTCAAAGTTTTTACACTGGTGTATTTGCACATTAAAAACTTAAATATAAGTTATAGCTTGATAATATAATTGCATACAAATCCATTAAATTCCTTAGATGTGACAATGAATGTTGTGTTCATGGAAGTCTTTGTTCTTATAAAATGTGTATTGATGTTTTCAGGGGTTCCATGATATCTATAAGTGACTTTTAAATAAAAAAAAGAGAACTATCATGAAAATGTGGCAAACGAAGAACTGACTTTCAAATACAGACAGAAAGAAAGAGCAAGAGACAGCCACAAAGCCATTGTGGTAGAATGAGCAACATGAAACTCTAATAAAATGTAAATATATCTTCCAACATTCTGTAGGCTTATTATGTTTTTCCAAATATAGCTGAGGCTAATACAGAACTATGAGACTCACTCAAGAGCTTTAAATGATCCTGTTCACAGGAAGATCATGGAAATGCAGAGTTTACCAACAAAATTAGCATGTCAAAGAAAGGCCAGATTAACATAAACATTTTAAAAAATAAATTTAAAACTTGAAAAACTCCTTTAAAAATAAAAAGAATTGGTAAACTATGCCCCTTGGACCCACTGTCTGATCACCCACATAAAACTTTACTGTAACTCAGTCACACACTTCACATATTCCTTTGTACCCTGTCCCCTAGGCCTTCCGAAAGATAGCAAACTGTGGTTGCTTCTCTCTGAATTGCTGGCATTAGTTCACACAAGCAAAAACAACTTTAGATTTCAGGCACATTCTTAGTAAGAATGCAAAAGCACTTTACTGCCTTTTATTTTTGTTCCAGAGAGTCTAGTTACAGACAAATTTGTATTTTTGTGTTGAATGTTTTGTCCCTTTCTTCTTCCCTCCCTCCCTCTCTCCCTCCCTCCCTCCCTCCCTCCCTCCCTCCCTCCCCTTCCATATTTCTTCCTTCACATCTTTCATTTTTTCTTTTTTTAAAGAGAGCATTTTGCTTGTCCAATAGAATTGTCCACTTAGATTCTGTTACAAAGCCCCGTTAATCAGAGAATTTGAAATTCTGTCAAACTTAATGTCATTTTCATTTTTCTTTGAGAAGGTGGTGATGGAAGGATGATGATGATAGACTGACTGACTAACTGGGAGCTTTACATCATATTTATATATACATATGGGTTAGACAAATATCCCTAGACTCCATTTATAATTGTGTACTATTCAGTTTTCATCTCAAAAGGAAGAGACTTTAACTCTCTTGACATGATCGATCTTGTAGCTTTGTATTCATTCATGCTTGGTTGGTTGAGACCCAACTAGAGAAGGTATGTCTCCGCTTGCAAAAGCAACTAATGTGAGCTGCATGGTAATTAACTACCGTGTTGGGTAATAGGCCAGGATGGCGAGAGATGTGCACAGCTGGAATGCACAGCTGTGTAAGGGACAGCACTGCTGAACGTCTTTCAGTAGGGTTGCCATTCAGGGAAGCACAGAGCCAGAGTTGGAAATTTTGTTCAAATCATAAAGACAAATTTGGTAACCATCATCCATCCCTACAAATAAAACCAAGGACATGCATGCTATAAAAAGACTGTTGCAGGCGATTTTGTTGTTAGCTTGTGGATTTACACACAAATGTAAGTAACCGAGTTGCCATCTAGATTTCAGCAGCTGGTATAAGCCTAAGTCGCTCTTTGGCTCTATGATCCAACTTTGTGTTCTGATAGGACAATATTTCTGAGCTTTAAGGCATGCCCACCCCCCCCCCTCACACAATCAGCACACCTCAAAGGTGTGCTTTGGGGAGCTTGCGAGCTGGCCTTCTGGCCTTCTCCGTGGTATGGTGTTTCAACCTACACCACGATCGCACATTTGATAGAAGTAAACTGTTTAGACAAAGTAGCCCTGATATGCCAAGTTCTTTTATAAAACTGTTAGGAGAAAGTTTCCGAACTCTCAGTTGTCAAGAGCTAAGTACTTCCTCAAGCCAGCCGTAAGCACAAGCAAAATAAACGAACATGACATTATTAAACAGCTTCCAATATGGGATTTACGGAACATAATAAAGCTTGGTTTTCCTCAAGTCTATAAGGATTTTGAGTTCACTGTGCTTTTTATTTCCTGTGATGTAGGCAATCCAGGGGAGAGGATTTCTGGGTAAGTGCCTAGGCTTTGCGTATTGTAAATGCTTGTGTTAGTTTAAGTATTTTACAGGGTGGATTTGTACATTTAGAGACTATGGAACCTTGGCTCTGAACAGCCTTGGGAAGTACAGCTTGACCCTCAGTCATTACTTGGTCATCTCAGAGAGGATAAGAAGTTACAACTCTCCCAAGGCTTCTAACCCTTAAACTGCTCTGGCATTGGGCAGTTTCCAAGAGAAACAGCCTCCCTCTTTTTCCCTTTCCTGGGTACATCTAAAAACGTTCAAATCATGCAGCCTGTCTTGGGTCCTGTGATTTTACATCATGTCAGCTCTGGAAGATGCTCTCAGTCTAACAGTAACATGATGATCTTGTTCATTGACCTTTGGAACACTGGGTCAGAGGGTCAGGTGTTGGTAAGAGGATGCTCAGAAAGGATGTGGGAATTTACCGTGGCTACAATAACGCATGATTTCAGAGTCAAATGTGAGTATTTGAAGTATTGCAGCTTTGCAGGATGTTATGTCCATTCAACTCTTAATTCTGACTCTTGTGTCCTTCTCACCTTTGCCCTTGGCTTTATGTAAACATTCCGATAATTTCGGTAACCACTATTGACTAATATGTAAGCAGTCCGGGCTAGACGCTTTTATGAGATTAGAAAACCCATAGAACTGAGTTTCTGTTCTCCGGGGATGTGTAATTTGGATTTTATAAGAGAAGAATTATGTACAACTCCCAGAAAGTAGAAGGAAAACGAAGAATAATAGGTCTCCTAGCATGTGTCAAACACAGAGCCGAGTGCTGTGCTTACGTGATTTAGTCCTTCCAACCACTCTCCAAGGCAATGTGGTTATTCACTCCACACCGGAGGAAATTATTGAATAACTTGCCCAAGGTCACAGCTTGCTAATGACAGAGCTGGAATTCAACCTGACTTCTGCCAGATGTCAAAGTCCTGTTGTTTCCCTGAGCCTTCTGGATCACTAAGCACACACAGGGACCCACTGTGGTGGAAACTGAGCCCCCTGAGTGTGCAGAAAATAGGGAAGCGTGGAGTCTGTCCAAAGGCAGGGTCAGAGATGTGAGGAGTTGAGTTAGAACTTGACGAAACGGTTGGATTGGGTTGGTGCCGACTGGCTGATTTTTTAAGGAGGCTGGGCTGGGTGGGAATGACGTGTGTAATGGCGCACTGATTGGTTAATGCTGTGGAAAAGCCAAGGCACTCTGAGAGGCCAAGCAACATCGAGTGCAGTTGCAGACATGCTGGCCAGCATGCACAATGCTCTGGGAGCTATATTTAGAACTGGGTTTCTTCGTTCTGAAGGAGAATTTATTGCTTTTGCCGTGTTCCCTGGGTGCCTGCTCTTGCTTACTCCCTGGGATGGATGGAAATCAAGATGTTGCAACATCAGTCGACGAAAGTTGGGGTGTTAGACACGCTTGTTTCAGAACAGGGCTTCGCACAAGCTCTTGAAAAAGGAATTGGAATCTTGTTACCAACGAGATTTTATTCAATGAATGTATTTAAAAAAAACGAGAGATCTTACCTAAAAATTTACCTTCTGGTTTCTTTGGGGCGGGGGAGGGTAAGAAACTAATCAGGTGCAAGCAAGGCTAAGTCTCCAATTCCCAGACCAACAATGCCTGTGAAGGAGGCTTCAGGGATGCAGGGAGTAAAACCTTCCTTCATTCTCAAGTGACTTCGTGATGGATGAGTGATGGGTATCCTCCCCACCCTTTAGACTAGAAAACTGAGGCACAAGGCAGAATAAAGGAACAAAAATTTCTTATCAAGGGACTTATTTTTAACAGGGCTACAGGGCTATTTTGATCAGTTTCTGCTGCCTCCATTACCTTATCTGTTGTCCTCAGGCTCCTGAAAAACTCTCATTTCTAACCAGTCCCCTTCTACTTTTATGTCTCTGCCCTACCCGGCCCTGTGTGTGAGAGACTCTATGTGTTTCTTTTGGGGTATTTTATGGGAACATAGGTGGGGGTTTGTTTACAAGATTGTGTGCCCATTGTTAGTTGTTACACCACTGAAGAAAATGTCTCTTCGCTTCCTATCAACTGTTAATCTGCTATAGGTGTGGAGACTGATGAGATTCTGATGCTACCACGACAGGGTGTTAATAGATGCAATCTCGTGCAAGTCTCATAGCTGCTGTAAGTTCAAGTGTGCAACAGCCATGCTGCGCCTGGAAGTCAACGGTCCATACCACCCCTGACCATTTCTACTAACTCTTTTGTGATGCTTCCTGAGCCTTGGAGTGGATATTATAGATGTCCCAATGGTGCAAGTTCCACCATCATTTATGGACTAATTATAAGCTTCTGTAGTCACCACCGGCCACTGCTAAAAGAATCTTCTCTGCACAAAGCTGAGAGCCGCATTCCGTGTGCCTAAATATAGCTATTTAGAAGGCGGCTTGACAGGCACATCATAATTGGAACCAGGTGCCATGGGACACTTTCATCTACAATGTTGTTTTCTTCATAGGTGTTTTCGGCTGCATCTGACCTGCTCTTTTGTGTGTGGTCAAAGTCAGCCTTTGAAATTGGCCCATGAATTCTTTGCTACTCTTTGCAAAGCAATGTGGGGGCTGATGTTCTTTCCTTGCTCCAAAAACAGGATCTGAAGGGAAACTCTAATTGTTCTATTATAAATGTATTTTAGAGGTGCCTCCATGAACGTCAATGAGGGAGAGACAAAAAACATTGTTCGTATATGTATATGTGTGTATGTGTGCATGTGTTGTGTGTGAGTGTGTGTGTGTGATTACATGAAAAACTTGTTGTTTAGGAAAGGTATTGACTCAAATCCTGGGTAATTATATATATATATACATATATAATATTATACATATAATATATACACATGTGCATGTAATATATGTATATCCATGTATATTCATAACATTACATATAATATTTATGTGAGTGTGAATGTT